GTCGAAGACTTCGTATTAGGTCAAATGCGGTTCAAAAACTCAAATGCAATCGCTTGAACTCAAAACTGGGAAAAGTGGACAATCCTCTGAGCATTCCGCACAGGTAAGTTCTTCTTTTTCTACTTCTAGGTTTGTTTTGATACTTTTTGGGAACGTTTGCCAATCACAGGTGATGCTTTATTCGCTCATGCTTTCGTCACGCTACAAGCAGCCCATTGTAGAGGGTTCTCTGTTATATCTGAAGGATGGAATAACTCGTAATGTCAAACCGCGTGCCCTGGAAATGAAAGGCATTATTAGTCAGCGAAATCGCTTGGCATCTTACCTTTCGAAATTGAAGCCTGATCTGCTGCCTGGTTAGTTCCTCTTTAACAAGCCGGAAATAGACTGAGGTACTCGAAAGCAGTCAATCATTATTTTTTGTGAACATCATGTTCGGACCAAGTGATGTTTTTACATGGAACATTTGCAGCACCAAAAGATGACCCGAAGTTCTGCGACAGGTGTGACCATGCTTTAGTGTGCTCCTACTATCAGGTACGTCGACTTCACAGTTTTTACGAGTCAACCTGAAAACTGGTCTTCAAATTTCAATGTAATATTGTGATTTCATGGGAGGGAGGAGTGAGGGAGAGGTAGTGTAGTGCATGTGACCGCGCGCACAGTACGAAGATCAAACCAATATCGTCTCGTATCCTAGCCAACAAGACCTTTCACCTTTAGGGGCTGGTGAGTTGGTACCAGATTCGTCTGGGAGGATAAAAACACTGACTTGTACATCGGCTGGCCACCGCAATTCATTGTATAGGCCACATCGCATTCAAAGGATTCTACACTACGCTTTGTGTGGTATCAACTCATCTTCCCCGGATGACAGAAACTTGCTTAGTCTGGACGGGGAGCGAATTCAAGATTTGACCCCGAACCGTGTGCGTGAAAGATGACTTGAGTATTTGAATAATAGATCAGAATATCTTGAAGGATCTGCGTTCTGGAAGTTGTCTTAGGTTGCAGTAGAGCCTGCTGCCAGGTCGTCCCATCTGATGCTAAATTTTGCAAAATTAAAAACAGATCATCTGTCCGCAAATCATGTCGGTAAGAGTTTGTCGACTTTCGTTGTACTTACGATGACAATCGCTGAGCTGAGAAGATTTATCGTTTAGGGTACTTCAAAAAATGGGTTACTTGGATTTATTCCGAGTGGTCTGAGGATAAGGCCAGAAAGGGCAGTTGTTTGGAAGACCTGTGGCAGAAACCTGTGGCAGAAAGGTTTGCACTCCGATGATCTGATGATTCGTAATCTCGATGTAGTGTAGATTGTTTCTTATTCAGGGAATCAGAAGGCTTTTGCTTATCAAATCTTCGTGTAGTGAGCCATGTGGATGTCTCGACTGACGGTTACTCCGCTTATCTTCTCACTTTTGGAGGGTTCGTTTGTTCACCTTCTCACAATTAGAGGCATATCACCATATGCTTAGTTCAGGAATTCAAATATAGTCGATTCGGTTTTCGCTCCTGGAAATATGTGTATTGTTTCGACTTCAGCGCAACCAGGCATACTCCTTGTACCCATAGTGGAATCGTCGTGTAAGTTGTTAGTTTCAGCTACTTCTTCGTCTTCTCAGTTGAGACTCGTTTCTTGAAAACTTTCACTATTTCCAGCAAAGAACGTGACGGTCCGCAGTGACCGGCTGATTGACCTTCAGGAGACCTATCACCTTGATCTCTATAACAGTTTTTCGACTTATCCCACAACTCTTGGCAATCTTGTTCTTCTCATGGGGAACGACGAAGCGAGGTATGTTTATCCTTGCAAATTTTTCCAAGTTCTCATCTTTTATTCTATAGTCTGCAATGGGCTTCATGACGCTCAGGCAAACTGTAACTTACTTGTAAGTTGGACCCGTGCCATGTGGGAGATGAGGGGGCAAGCTGATGTGGAAGGACACCACTTCCGTCATTTGAAAGCGTGCAGAAGTGAAGCGGCTGGAGGTTGGTGGGTCGTAAGATTTTTCATCGGACGTCCGCAAAGTGCAGC